GTCACGCAAGCAGCAAGGTGGTGGCGCCCAGAGGCAGTACTTGCAAACCTCGATATGCCAGCACACCATCAACAAACAACAATGTACCCTCCCTCCTAAAAAAAAAAAAAAAAGATTGTGTTTTTTTTTTTTTTTTTACAAAAATAAACAACGCATCGCTGAACCCTCATTCTCCGCCAAAATATAGCGCAAGCGGCCCGAATTAGACGCCAAAGGTTCTTGAGTACTAACCGTTATCTTATTGATAACTTAAAAGTGAGGTTTCGAAAATTTCGCTGAGAGAATGGGGGCCCGCTTTTACCCGTTTCCGCCGTTTTCAGCTCGATATATATTTGGAGAGTTCTGTCGGTCACCATTTTCCCATTGCAACTTTCAGAAAATCACGTACAACTTTTGACTAATATAAGGATTAGTGATGAAACTTTGGCATCTCGTTCTTACCGCTATTGCGTTCCATTTTGGGTGACAGTCCATGCGATCGTCATTGCGTTATTTTTGCGATAAAGGAGAAAAAAAAGATCACAGGTTGTAAATTGTTTTTTTGGGACACACTGCACAATACTCAGTTCGCAACAGACAATATACACCAAGAACAAACAAACTCGCGTCTGCTCACGCCAACTGGGGGCATTGCCCGTGCGCAGAAGCCCGATTCGCGTGAGATGAATCGACTGCGCATGCCCAGTGCCGATAGCAGCGCCACCCAGGTGTCGTGACGTCAATTAAGGGTCGAGTAGGGGCGCATAGTAGAGAAAACATTGTTAAATAGATCGCGCGTAAACTTGGACGTGTTGGTGTTGTATCAATTGTGTTTTAACGGAATCAGTTCTTAAACCGTCGCTTTGTGTGTGTGTGTGTGTTTTTGTTTTCTCTTTCAAAATGTCAAGGTCTAATGAAGTGTCCAGCGACCCCGAAGTTGTTGCTTCCTGCCTACCTATATCATCGACTATTGCGTACCGGTTTTACCTGCAAGACATCACCTCTGGAGCGAAAACTGTCCTTTTATCGAAGTCTATGATTAATGACAAAATGGTTGTTGCAATGAAAAAATACAAGGTATGACGACACGCACAATATATTTTCATACGCTAACAGGGTTGCGCGATATTGTGTCACGCGATTTCTTAGCCGCTAGTAGCTCACCAGCAAAGAGTAAAAAGGTTCTATATTAAAAGAAAAAAAAGAAGTAAAGTCGTTCTAAAGCGTACATGTCCCAAAAAAAGATTTTTTTTTTTTTTCAAAATAACATCGAGTTGTACAATTTGAAATTGCAGCAATGTGGGCAGACACGGATCTGAAAAAATTGGAGGAGATCTAAATAGTTTCATATACAATATTTCCCAAACTCATGCACACCTTTTTGGCGACTTCCCGATTTCCCTCATCCGGGCACCTCGTTGCCAAAACGCTTTACGATTTGTCCGAAACGCCACCTGGTGAGCTTACCTATGCACCATATGCGGGAATCTGTGAGCTAAATCTTACAAGTAATTTAGTTTTGTTTTCCGCTCCATAAAAAACCGCTGCCATCAGCGTCGCACATGGACGGCGATGCGATCATAACGTGTTGAAAAATCGCAGCCATGTCTATGAAACATCGTCGAAGATTAGATATGAAACATGTGTTAATGATTCTTTCATCGGCGCAAAAGGATGCCGAGTACTGTGCCAGGCCTAGAGGGTTTTATTAGCATATACATTATTTAACTTAAAGTTATCAACAAACAACAGCCTTAATTGTAGTCACTTTATTTAATAAATTGTGTTATTAATGAGAGACTATCTTTATAATTATCGGCAGTTGTAAATTATAGGAAAATTTACCTGTTTAAAAGTGAATTAAACGTTACAACTGTGACAATCGGGCTCGATGTTAAAACACAAGAGAAAACACAGACAGCCCTCAGCAACCAGAAGTGTCAATGGCAAGCTGCACCCGCCACCTAGTTTGTTGTTCACCTTGAAAATGGGTGTGTAGCAAATATTTTAAGTAAATAGACAAAAAAAAATGCCCCGTCATTCTCTATAACCTTAATCCTGAGTTTTAAAACCCAGATCAGCAATACGTTTTTGCTTTAATGGTTTATTCTAAGTGTTCCAGGCATAACACGCTAAAAGCGCTACTATAATACTCTTACGATGCTGGTGAACACCTAAATATAGAATTGTTTCTAACAAGAACAATTAACGTGCAGTTCTCACATACACAGAAAAGGAATATACAGGCGTAATGAATCACGCTCGAAGGAGGAATCACGAGGTCGGTGACTATTCCGCGGCCTTATGCCGGATGTCTCTGCGAATAAGTAACAGACAATCCTACCAATAGTGTGATTGAGAAAAAAGAAAAGAAAAAAGACACCCTTTTGGGATCAAACTTCCAGCCACGGCAAACCTCAGAATTTGAAGAAGAAAAACGCGCACGAAATAGCAAATTAATTACCTAAAATGAACTACGTCTTCGTGATTGAAACCAAACTTAGATGAAATTAGAAACTTTCTGGGCGATATGGAAGATTTCTTAAATCAATCCATTTTAGGAAGACTCGAAGCACGTGAGAAGTTCTTATTCGTGCAGCAGGCTGAAGGCTGGGGATACGAAAAAGCAGATGATTTTCTTAACCGCGCTTTTTCGACCCCAGCTTTCCCCCTGCTGTAGGAGAGGGAACTTTATCGCCACGTGATTCGAGTCTTACTAAAATTGATCGATTTAGGGGTCTTCGATGACGCCCAGCAAGTTTCTAACTGGAGCCATTAGTTTACTTTCATCAATTAGGCTGTTTTTTTTTTTCAGTCTTCTACACGATACTCGGAAAAAGTAATCTACAAGGATCACAACAACTCTTGGTTAAAGTGTATTCAAATAGATCGCTTGATTACTAAAGAAAGAAAGGAATTTACCGCGACTCTAAAAAGTAACTGTTGCTTCTCCGATTACATCAGATCTTCCAAACGACCTGCTTTTCTCCCGGTTTGAAAACGGGTCTATCGTACTCTCAATTATTAGATTCGAGTCACTGAACTAGAAACTATAGATCTTCTAAAACCACCAATTTTAGAAGACTACCCTTCTGCCGGAGACTTGGTTTGAGGTTTCTTTGGCTGAAAACTTTTAGAAACAAAGAGCGCCATTAGAGAAGGCAGAAACAAGTAGTAACGGCTTCAAGTAATGTTAGTACTTCGAAAAGGAATCATATTAGTCTCGCAATTACTTCATAATGTATGTAATCAAAGATTACAAAACCTTCCCGAATTGTAATTGATTACAAGTAAACTGATTACTTTTAATCAGCACCATACAAGTCTCTTTGTCTTTTCTAATTCCTGACGTTCGCCACGGCTGGCAGTTTGCTCGAGAGAAAAAGTTCTTCGTTTTCCTTACTCTCTATATTTGTAAAGATTATTAAAGGGGCACTCAAGTGGATTCCAAGATCATCTATTTATTGCCATACCTCAAACCCGAAATTTCATTCAAGGGCGGCCGATTTCCCTATTAGAAATCCAATCGAATACGCGCCACGCTCTCTTTTCTGCTACGTGGCGCAGAACATCAGGGGGGGGGGGGGGGGCACACAACAGCCAATCACGAATGACGGCTTTTCGGCTGACTAAATTTTCGAATACTCGCGCTTTCGAAAATTCAGTCTACCGGGAAGCCGTCACTTGTGATTGACTGTCGCGTGCCATCCCCTGCTACCCTCCCATCCAGTGGCGCCACCTGGCGTTCTGCACCACGCCGCAGAAAGAGGGGACGGCGCGGTTTTCGGATGGATTTTTGGCAGGGAAATTGACCGCTCGTGAATGTGATTTCGGGTTTCTTGGGATGCTTAGAACCCGCAGATTGAGTTATGACAATATAGACGATATCAGAGTCCACTTAAGTGCCCCTTTAAAAGTATTCCCAGAAACACCTGCGGATATACACGACAACCCTGAGACACTCCTTCACAGATGACCGCCACTGCAATTTGGTTGTTTTTGTTCCCCAATATGTCATGCAAAGAATAGTATACTACACTATAAGTTCAAAGAGAGTATTTCCAATTAATATTCATAGGTATATGAAATAATTATTCGACATTATCGCTAAAACAACCTCCGCTAAGGTATTTTTAAAGCTGGTGATTAGTGGTGCGAACTCCCTTGAGAAAGGGCGTTCGCCTCACTTTGTACCGTAGCACTTTTTTTTCACACCAATCACGCTGCTCATATACATGCATACCAAAGACACTTTGTTCGCTGCATACAAAATGCCAAAAATATCTGTAGATACACGCCCCATGCATGTTGAAGCATGTTTCGTGTCATGCATTCGCATGCTTCGACGATGTCTGAAGACAGTTTTTTTTTTTTTTTTTTTTTTATGACCAACGCTACAGTACAAGCACGAAAGGCACCTCAAGCAGTGTTATGCAGCCTGCCGTTTGTATGATGTATTAGCAGTATGACCATAGGGCGCAATGCATTCTGATGTGAATAAAGTAGTGCGCGCGTAGACCTGCATGCTTACAATTCATTTCGCAGCCACAAAATGCGAGCTCTCTTCGAAATACAAATAGCGCAACCGCATGATTCGAATCCCTCTCCCCTCATCCTGGCACAGGTGACTAAGGTGTTCGGGAGTCCATATTGGATTCAGCTGCTTGCCCAGGCGGCTGTGAAGCAAGGAATTCAGCTGGATAGTCTAACGACTATTCTTCTATGTGGCTCAAAGGCCACGCCCCACATTTTGAGGCAAATCGAACGGTCGTTTGATCTGGCCATCGTCAAAGAAACTTACGGAGCTACGGAAGTCGGACGGGTATGCAGACCCCCCTTGGGCGCGACCCGTTGGTACGGCATTGGATTCCCGTCCCCGATGGTACAAGTTAAGGTAAATTTGGTTCCATTTAGTGATGAGTACGAGAGGTGTGCGGACACTCCAATTTCAGCTCGCAACTATTGATATCGGTTACCCCCTGTTGATATTGTGGCCACAATGGATATCGACTTGTCATCAGGTTGTTGATGTCAAGAGTGGAAAAGTACTTGGACCAAACGAAGAAGGAGAAGTGCTAGTGAAGACGCCATGTTCCATGAAGGGCTATTACGGACACCCGGAAGCTACATCGCAGAAAATTACTCCCGATGGTTGGGTACGAACAGGTAGGGGATGGCGACTGTTCTTGTTAACAAGTCAGTCTCTTAGCACTCCTCGTTTGGCGGCTATACAGAAAGGAGACCACTGAATGGCACGTAGCAAGAGCTTTGGAAACATATAAAGCCATCCTTGTCACATGTCACTGCCGCGTTATTTGACGTCATGGTGTACAGGACATCACAGTGTCACGTCATAGTGTCAAGTCACACCATGGTGTGACGTCGGTGTCACGTGACGGTTCAGAGAGTATTTATGAATGGAACGCAATCAGCGCACCTTTCTGATGGCGTCTCAGTGTCAGGTGACGCTGTGACGCTATCGAGGGTAAATCCGCGGACACGAAAGCCCTTATGACGCGTTATGGTACGTTTACCTTTGCGGTTCCGCCAGCGAATTCGCCTAGCTTTTGCCGCGAGGGCGAAACGCTAGGCGAAAAACGCGGCGGCGAGCCGTATATTTCTGCCGCCGAACGAGGCGTTTCGCTGACCGGAAGTGACATTCTTGCGCAGCGCGGCGCTGCTACGTCACGAGTACGCGTTCTTCTGGGAGCAGCAACCTCCGGGAGAGACAGCCGAGGTGGAAACTCTCGCGCCTTCTCGTCATAGTTGACGGGGTGTTACGAGAAGAGATGCCGCAGCCGACGCCGCCGCCGCCGCTTGAAGGAAATAGATGTAAACGCAACCCGCTCGTCGCCGCCGCCGCCAGGAGCGGATCCGCTCCCGCGGCAGCGGATTTCTTCTCAGGTTCTCAGGTCGCGCTGTGACTTCGAAGCATGCTCTTTAGCGCGCGACTGGATGTGTACTGTAGCCATAGTAGAACGTGGCGACGGTCTGCTGGAACTGCCTATTCACACTGGCAGTTGAATCGCACTCGCGAGGTAGTTGCCAACGTTAAAGGCCCGTTGCATTAAGAAAGCACTTTAGAAAGTTTAGACTCATTTAATGAGACAAACAAGCCGATCTGCTTAGCGGTTGCTATTTGAACAAAAAAAAATGAAACTCTCATATTTTAAAACCAAAAGCCGCGTCAATCATTATGATATTTTCTACTTTACCCGTCACAATTAATACTAAACGATTTTTACGTTCAGATCTAATTATGAGCACCAAATTTTTTAATGTTCGGTTCCTCGGCCTTTAAACCACATTAGAAACACTAATATATAGATGTGGGTAAAATTTCTCAAGGGAGATACGCTCCAGGATTTTTTTCACAAAATTTACCATATTCTGACCATTTTGAAGAACGTATTTGAACTTATTCTTTTCCTGATGTTCTTCTGGCGGGGTTGTCCCTGTAGCGATTTTTGATGTTGCTTTGCTGAATGCATAAATGCGTATATTTGTGCGCGTTTGTTTTTTGATTAAGCGCCATCTCTTTGCTTACCAAATGCGTAAAGGTCTGAGAACTCAAGCTTCAAATTGAAGTGTTTCGTTATTCCCCAATTTTCCCACCGTTTGTTTGAATGTAAAGTACGCATTATTATTTTTTATTATTATTATTATTATTATTATTATTATTATTATACCTTGTTATTATTATTCATTGTTATGTACTGAAAAGTAAAATACATTACTCCAGCAGAGAAGCTCCTTGTTGGCTGTGTAGTATACTCATCAATGGCGTCTTTCCATGCACCCGCTTGAACGTCTACCAACATGGCTATTCGTCAAAACGTGCGAGCGCATATCATCTTTTGCAATATACACGTGAAAGCAATACCAGCAAGAAAACAAGCTCTGCGCATGACGTCACCGTTAGTAATGGAACCCCGACCTGCCCCAAGCGGCAAACACGTCAAGCTCGACGGCAGACGCCGCAAAGCGCCAGACGCGTACGTCTTGGCGTCGCCACTTGCTACGTCACGCTCGTTGTAAGGCGCTGCGAGTCGCGCTGGCGGCGACGCTGACGCGAGTTATAGGTGCGCGGCGTCTGTCCAATCCGGAGCGCAAGTTCGTCCGCTTCCTGAGCAGGGGTTCCGGAGACGTCGAATGGCCCGAACTCTGGTTGGCTCCGATTGAAAGGGTAGTGGGTAGACCTAAAGGCAGGTATGTGGAGCGCAAGAATTTCTGCTCCTTTTGCAGGGGTTCTGCAGACGTCAAAACACCGAGCTCTGATTGGCTCTGAATGAAGGCAAGGCAGCTTGCTTTGAGGTCTACCCACTATCCTTCAATCAGAACCAATCTTAGTTCGGCGTCTTTCTGACCAGGGCGAGAAGCAGACGACTTGCTTTGCGCATAGTGTTGACGTTCGAGAAGAAAGGCCTTGTCTTCAAGGCTCGCTGGTCAAGCACCCACACCCGTGCCATTTGACGGCATGGCCACAGAAAGATTGTCTCGGAGTATTAAAGGTTTTGGCGCGTTCTTTACCTTTCTCATATATTTCGACCCTTGTCTCGTGTGAAGTTGATATTCCGAGAGCGTCCATCTACTATTTATTTATTTAGCTTAACATTACACCAGCCCATGAACTCAATTTTCAGCTAGAGATGACGACTACACGCTAATTTCCAGGAGACATCTGCTATTACAACGAAGACGGTCAGTTCTTCTACGTCGAAAGATTGAGCCAGTTCTTTAAATGCATGAACATCCAAGTGGCGCCCTGCTCTATCGAAAGCGTGTTGCTCAGCCACGACGGAATTGAAGAAGCCGTGGTCATTGGTGTCCCTCACCCACGATATCATGAAGTGGCCTTGGCGTTTGTTGTGTTGAAGAAATCTTGTAGCAAAATCACCGAGGAAGAGCTCCAAAACTTCGTTGCAGGTAAATCTTAATCTCGAGATTTCTTTTATTACTGTTATTTATATTGCAGCATGAGCATATTTTAGACATAAGATGTGGAGAACTACACACAACAAAATGTAATGCAAAATTAAGTAGAAATGCTTAGTTGTTCGGGGTTCCTTTATCGATTGGAAGCCTCTGCAAACTCGCCGGGAGTGCTTCTGCCAAAAACTTCTCCACGTAATATTTTATGCACAATGGGGTATCGACAAAAAAAAAATGCTTACTTCAATCTCACTCATTCCTCACAGACGGGATGAAAAAAAAAAAAAAAAAGGTCAGGGACCTTACTTATCTAAAACCGACATATTGAAAAACTCTTGGTAAGCGGACGCAAAACGAGACATGGGATGCACAAATACATTCTATGTTCAAAAAATCATTTTTTATGCACCACTAAGAGCTAGAACTAGCTAACAAAAAACGCAGACCCGCAAAAAAAAAGAATCGACAATTTTAGTGCGAGAGCATTATGAAGCTACTCATCATATTTTTCTGGCCATGTATGTCGCCTCTAATGTAGTCAATTTTCCACTAAATTTAGCGGAAAATTTACCTTACATGACCTATGCGCCTATTCAGGTTTCCCGCTAAACTTAGCGGAATCAGGTTCTCCTTTAAATTTAGCAGAACATTAACTTCACGTGACTCATTCACCAATTCAGGTTCCCTGCTAAATTTAGCGGAAAACTGACTTCACGCTACCTATGCACATATTCAGGTTCCCCCTAAATTTATCTGAAAATTGACTTCCCGTGACCTATGCACTAATTAAGTTTCCCCGCTAAATTTAGCGGAAAACTGATTTTACGCGACGTATGCACCGATACAGTATCCTCGCTAAATTCAGGGGGAAACTGACTTCACGTGGCCTATGCGCTAATTCAGTTTTCCCGCTAAATTTGGCGGAATTAGTTTCCCCGTTTAAATGTGCGAAAAATCGACTTCACGTGACCTATGTACCAATTCAGTTTCCCCGCTAAATTTAGTGGAATCAAGTTCCCCGCAAAATTTAGAGGGAAACTGACCACGCGACCTATGCACCTACTAAGGTTCCCTCTAAATTTAGCGGAAAATTAACTTCACGTAACTGATTCACCAATTCAAGTTTCCCGTTAAATTTAGCGGGAAAGCGAACACCTGCCCGTGTGTGCAACGATGAATACTAGCGCATTCATAGATAATCCCCCGTCTGGTTTCTACAAACTTGCCTCCACCATAATTTTTCTTTTTACCTTTCATTTTTTTTTTCAACCCACTTATAACATTACAGGATGATAAATGCACCATCTAAGGGCACCTTTCTAAAATGTTTTATTGCACCTAGCTTATTTCTTTAATTATACTAAATTTTTAGCCCGAATATACTCTTGGGTGATTCCACGTAAGTTCATGCATTGATGATCCGGATCATATTCGAGATATTTTTGTTAAAAATATGTATGAAAGCCATGTTCCTGGGAGGAACATTCAGCTATATGTGAACGCCGTGACTATATTTTTCGCTGGGGTATAAAATAGAGACGCTCGAGGCGTCATTTTCTCATCAAACTACGTCACCATAACTTTTTTAATACGTCTTACAAAAGAGATACAACACATAGACAAAAAATTTAAAAATATATCAATAAAATATTTCTATGCAAACAAAACGTCAAACAGGGTATACAAACGCGTTTTAGAGATATACTATATTCACAATTTTTTTTGCAAATAAACCATCTTTCATAAAACTTCACAAAAGATTACAAAATGCGCGTCTTTAAATATTCTTTTGCGGATATATAAAGGTAATATGCCCACCCTTAATTATCTTTTGTTATTAACGCGGAAATGCGGCTGATTTCTGCAAAAGGGGCTAGATCGGGCGTCGATACTTAAAGGGGCACTCAAGTGGATTCTGAGATCGTCTATTTATTGTCATAACTCAATCTGCGGGCTCTAAGCATCCTAGAAATCCCAAAATTACATTCAAGGGCGGCCGATTTCCCTATTAAAAATCCAATCAAAGATCGCTGTTCTGCGCCTAGGCGCACGCCGTCAGGGGCGCTGTCGGACGGGAAGGCAGCAGGGAAGGGCGTGCGCCATCCAATCACGAGTGACGGCTTCCCGGCGGATTGATCCTTCGAACCGGCGGAGTGATCTTCCGAATGTGCGCGTATTTGATGGATTCTCGTTGGGACTCATTTTGTTTACTTCGGGTCTCGCGTCGTGCGGAGATGGA